AGTCAAGCAGAAAAAATGAATTTTTATAAATGTGTGAATTTTTCAGTACTGATGTGTACTTTGGGGATGGACAAAATTTCACAGCTATTCTAGATTTTTGACACAAGAAATATAACTTTGTCCTTTTTTTCCTCTTGAAATATTTCTCTCTGATTTATTACTGAATCATTCACTATTTGCAAACTATTGTCTTAATATAATGGATATTCAATAAGTGGGAAGGGACTAAAATATTATATCTTCTTGTTATGGTTTGGATATGAAGTGTCCTCCAAAAGCTCACATGTGAGACAATGCAAGAAGTTCCATAGGAGAGATGATTGAATTATGAGAGTCTTAGCCCAATCGGTGAATTAATCCCGATTGGATTAACTGAGTGGTAACTAGAGGCAGGTGGGGTGTGACTGGAGGAAGTGGTTAACGTGGGGCTTGGCTATGGGGTAGATATTTTGTATCTGAAGCTGGAGTCTCATTCTCTCTCTGCTTCCTGATGTGAGCTGCTTCCCTCTGCATACTGTCCTGCCATGAGGTTCAGCTTCACCTCAGTCCTCAAGGAATGGAGCCAGCCTCCTATGAATTAAGACTTCTGAAATTGTGAGCCCTCAAAAAAAACTATTCCTCCTCTACAAGTGTGCTGGTTGGGTCTTTAAGTCACAGCGTTCAAAAAGCTAAAACACTTCTGTAATCAGCAATGTAGAAATTCATGTAATTTAGGCATGGTTAAAGTTGGTATATGGAACTCATAAGAGTAGTGGGTTTTTTGTTTGTTTATTTTGTTGTTGTTTTTGAAGGCTTTTGTAGCTGCTGCTTTCTTGTTGGTGTCTTCTCAGAGACTTCATTCATTTAATTCATTTAGTAGATATTGACTGCCCTACTGTATGCCAGATGCTAGGAATCAGCAAAGAGTTGGTCAGTCTAAAAGGCATGCTTTTAACAAGATTATATTTTAGTGTTAGGTAAAACAAATAAAAACTATATAACTAGCAAAATATATAATTTGTTAGGTAGAACTTATCTAAGTATTAGTCTCTACATCACTAGTATCTTGCAAAAGATCTGGACATAGCAGACACTCAAAAACTACCTGCTTCTAGATTGATATACTTTTATGAATACTCAAAGGAACAGAAGCACCATTATTGAATTTACCATTGCTTTCCTGAATCTAGTCCACAGACCCAGATGTGAAATAGCTTCCAGAGTAAAATTTTAGTTTACATGGGCTCTGTTATCTGAGTAAAGTGGTCTGTCTGATTGATTAATTTTGAACTTAACAGATGATTATAATTATATTATGTAGCCCAAGTAGATGGATATTTGATTTTATTATGTTTTATTCCTTGAAATTTGACAATGCACCTAAACTCTCCTTCCTATACATTTTTCACTTCATTGTTTCTCTCTTGTCTTAGTATTGACTGTGTTAGAGGTATCAGATGAATTAATTGTTTTCTTATAGACTATGCAAACACTTGGTCCTGTCCATTTTGTCAGTTAGAATTGTAATCACTGATAAAGATAAATAATTGTAACTTTCCAAAATCCATAGAAGATATTTTAAAAAATAATATATATTCCTCTAGGTCTATGTCCTCTAGTTCTCTTGGGAACTAGATGAAAGGCTAAGTGTTGATGAGAGTCTGGATACACTGTCTGGAATGCAAGATTGGGTGGGCCAGTCAGAGAAGAATGCTTCCCAGGCATGTGAAGTAACTGTCATCCAGGTCCAGGGAAAATGACCATGTTGGCCCAGCGTACAGACATTCCTCAGCCTGACCTCACCTCTCACATCTCTCCCGCCAGTTTTACCAGAGTTACATTTTCCAGGCGATTCTTTGGCGCCTTCAGTACCACATCACTCATATGTGCATGAATATGCATATATAATCCATACAATTTCTGGTAAAATAGTGTATTTCCAAAAATTACTTGGAGGGAAAAAAGCACAACTTGTAAAAACAATGTATGGTCTATCCAAAATATTAGTAAACTAAACACAAACCAAAGGAGAAAATAAAAATCCTCTGTGTTTCTACTGCCTAGGGTTAACCAATGAAAACATTAATGTAGATACTCCAATCTATTCCCCATGTAAAAAACAACAGTTGTTTTTTTTTCAAAATTGAGATGACACAATTAATGCAAGTGGGTGATTTTCTTTTTAAAAAAGTTAAAGCTGAGGGGCTGGGGTTGTGGCTCAGCAGTGAGCACTCGCCTAGCATGTGTGGGGCTCTGGGTTTGATCCTCAGCACCACATAAAAATAAAATAAAGATATTGTGTCCAACTAAATTAAAATAAAATATTAAAAATATTTTAAAAGTTAAAACTGAATCACAAACAGAAGTACCTACATAAATTTTCATAATGTAAAATTATCATAGTTTATCTGTTTTTTTCAGACTTAGGTTATCCAGAATTACCAATGATGCTATTATAAATAAAATACTAATGACATCTATTTTACAGAAATATTTCACCTACAGCTTTGTGGGTAGCTAAACAATAATTCCTTCTCCCAAGGCAACCCTTCTTCATGACTGGGGCTGGTAGTCAAGGAGGGACGGAGTGATTATGAGTGCTTGGGCACTGTGCTGGTATTCTGGAAAAAAGACTAGGCTCTGGTTTCCTTCAGAAATTCAGTGTCTTTTCATAGTTGGTGAACATAGGAGTATTTTCAGAGAAGAAAGGAAAAATCAGAGAAGTGCATGCCATATAACTGAGATGCTTTAAATTTGCGCATCTCAAAAGCAACGTCAACTGTTCCACACAATTGTTCGGAGTATATTTGCTCCCATATACACAGAGTAGATACCCAGGGACATACCTATTCATTAATAGAAAATGCATACATTAATACTTGTGAGTCAAGAGAAATATTTATTCATTCATCCTTATACTCTCCCCACCCAATTGTAGCAAACAGATTATAAATTCTACAGTTTCTGCTTTATTTACCATTTTTATCCTCAATTCCTTGCACACTGTCTGGCACATAGCAGATAATCAATAAGTATTTGTTGAGTGAACAAAACAATATAAAGTGAAAATATTTGAGTCCAAATGCCAGTCAAGTCTTGGTGTTATTTTCTTCTTAGAGTAATTGATCCCATATAGGTAGGTATACTTTTAAAATCCTAAGGCATAATTTAAGGGAACAATGATACAACAATAATAGGAGAGTCTATATTTGACCCAGGTACTGTTGTGCAGAAAATACTCTTTTAATTTTATTTAGCTACTGAATATTTAGGTCTGCATTTTGATGCATTATTTCCCGGGAAAAGACTATTGCCCAAGTGATCTGCATGGACAGCAATATCTTGCTTCTTTTAAGTGCCAACAAACCACACTGGAATCCTTCAGTAATACATTAAAACTTTTAGAAACACTTAATGCTTCAAAATATTAGACCCTTGTGACAGATGGTCAGAGGTTTCTCTGATGATGAGTCATTATGCTTCAAAAATAAATGCAAAGAATAAAAAATAACATAAGTAATTTTGACCAGTATTTACTGGGTACATTTTAGGTATCAGCCTTGTACTGAATATTAGAAATATGAAGAAAAACAAAAGATGATCATAGATATACAGGCAAATGCATAATTATTATGCATTGTTTTAAAGTGTATAACTGGACAAATTACAGTGGGAGTACAGAGGAGGGAGCAACTGCTCATTCATATTGGTGAAGATTGGGAAAATTGCATGAGTTTTATATGGGGTTTAGAGACAGGAGTTTGTCAGAGAAAGTTTAGCAGAGAAAGGGGGATAGGAGTTCAAAATAAAGGGTGTTACATAAGCCATTGTTCAAAGAACATGGTACATCTCTGAAAGCGAGATATTGGCCAGTGGCTGGAACATAGGATATTTGCAGGGGAGATAAGATTATAGAGGTAAACTTACAGATGTACCATCACAGCATCAGCTAAAGAGTTTGCACTATGTCATACAGGCCATGGAAGTTTTGATAAGTGATATTTATTCTTTAAGCATTGATCTCAGCTTTGCAAATAAAGATGCTTCTTTTTGACATTGGTCTTGATTTTCTTTTCATTTGGGATTTTTAGGTTTTTTTTGATATCATGTTTGAGTCTTTGTGGCATGATGACCCAGTATCATTTAATTTCAGTTTTATCTCCTGTTTATTTTTTTTATTATTTTTTATAGCTGAGTTGTTTTTGAAGTCCTCTTATTTGTTTGTTCTGCAACTGTTTGGCTGTCAAAGCTGGACTCAGTGATTTGTTTCATTCTAATAGTAGCTGGGACCATTTATAGAACCGTTTCTACAAAATGCTCTCTTTATAATCACAGTAATCAGGAAATGGACATAAGAGACCAAAATATGAATTGTTATGATTAAGTCACAATATAGTAGTATAGAGATAAGCTCATTTCTACAAAGTTCTTAGAAAATTCCATTGTTTACTTTTGAGAATGTTTTAGCCTAGTTATGGTAGGGATGAGAGATTCAGAAAAGAAAAGATGCTATTATCATTGTAGTTACCAAGCTGAAAACTCTAAAAGTAGCATTACAGAATAATATTATATACTATGTACAAACTAATATCAAATGTTCTGCGTGCATTTTTAAAAAATCTGTTAACTTATCTATGATTTATGTACTTAAATATAATTTAGTTTTTATTGAAATGCAAAATGTGTGCTGGCTTTGATATTATTATCTGCAGAAGTCTAAGAAGGGTGGTTTCTGATGTCAACATCTGTTCTCCCTGAGTCATTCTAGTCATGCACATCTGACTTACTTTAGAAATTACTGTTTTGTAGTTCTAATGTCAATTTGAATTCAATTTGAATTCAAAGGATTCAAATGTCTGTATCAGTGATTCTATTATTTATTTTTGTCCGTATTTTGCAGCATAACATCACTTTATGGAAGTGGAATGAAGGTCATGTAGCACAGCTAGTTAAGTTAAAAATAACAGGACTGAAAAAAATGCCTGCAATCAATCGATTTCTCTGTTTTTCTTGTATTCTAGGTAACAATGGCCAACATTGGCATAAATGGAAATAATTCTCAGGAGACCTGTGAAACAACGCTCTTTGCTCTCCGAATGGCAACATGGAATCAAATCTTAGATCCCTGGGTATATATTCTTCTCCGGAAGGCTGTCCTTAAGAATCTCTTCAAGCTTGCCAGACGCTGCTGTGGAGTGCATGTCATCAGCTTACATATTTGGGAGCTTAGCTCTATTAAAAATTCCTTAAAGGTTGCTGCTATTTCTGAGTCACCCGTTGCAGAAAAAAATCAGCAAGCACCGAGTTTAGTAGGACAGTAAGTCAGTGTAGGACTAGAACGTGATTAAGAAAATTTTTGGCAATATATCAGTTAATTAGATAAATATACATAGCCTAACTGGAAAGTTCAGACCTCAGCAGGTAGTTGGTGATAACTTTCTTTGGATTCAGCTTTTGAAATTTGTCAAAGTAGTACATGATTGCATATTTTCACTTGTTTTTGTCAACTGGAGTTAGAATGAAATAATGCTTATGGGAGTCAAATAGAAAAAAAAATGAGCTTATCTGTGTGATTGATGCTTTTATAATAAATGAATGTGTTGAGGCCTAATGTATTTTTACTTGGCCTATTTACTAGGGAACACCTTAACACTACCTGCACAGTGGATTGGCTATTTTAGGATCACTGTTTGTAACTATTCTTCATAGACAAAGCTCATTGAACTACAAGGCCCCTGTATTTTTGTCTGGTCTGTTTTAGTAGTCATTATGTAGCCTCAATCAATATATGCATGACCATGGCACCTGGGATTCAACTGTGGCTTATAACAAAAACCTACTGTATAGGTCAGTTCTGGCTCATAGGTTGTCTGGTCTCGTGAGCTTATTTATAATGGGCCCATTCATATCATATTTGACAAATATGATTACTTTCATCTATTATTATGAAGGTCAATTGTTTGAAGGCTTTTTGGCAAGTATAGATTTAAAATTTTTAAATAATTGTTTCCTTTGAAAAATTTAGTACGTTGATACATGTTCATATTTAGAGATACAGAGGCTTTAACTTAGCACAGATATAGGCAACTTGCATGACAGCAGTTCCTAAAAAGCTCTACCATGAATAATGCAAACAACCTATACCCCAATGATGTGAGCAAAGAACATGGGCAAAAGGTGCTTTGCTGTGTGCCATTATTTCTGTTTCAGAGAATAAAAGAAACACAGTCAACATATAATATTCAAAGATTATCTACATCTAGTGTTTTTCTGCCTTACATGCATGTATGTACACAAAAATACTCACCACAGACAATGGAAAATCCTCTTTTGACAACAGGTTCATTGAATGTGTAAGATAGCATCTTCTAAAGCCTGTGCTACAGTGTTGAAGGGGAAGATTGGATATCAGCCAAGCATTTTGGCATCATTTTAATAGCTAACCAGAAATCAAAGGTAATAATCTCCCCCAAATTTCCAGTAATAAATCAGACTTTTTCCCCCTTGTTTTTGTAATTCATTCCAAAGAATTTAGTACCCATTCAGAATGTCTTAAGTCCATCAGAGAATAGGGAGTAGTTTTGCTTTATAGTAGGGAAATGTATTTCTAAAAAAACTTCTTTCTTTTATTAAATTGGGTCCATTTAAAAATTAATTTTCTCTGTGAAACTCTTTTCAGACTCTAGGTAATTCTTTTAATTCAGCTAGACTTAAATGATTATGTTCATAAATTTCTGGTTTTCATTGTTAATTTCCATTGGAAGTCATTGTTAACTTTGTGGATTTTGGCAAATTGTCCTGGGTAAATTAAAAGAAATTAAGAATGTATCCTCATTGAAGATTTGAAGGCAATATTTTTTCTGCAAATCTAAAGCAGATCACAACACGCTGGCACATGATATTCTTATTTTAAGACCAGTAAATGATTAATCTTGCAAATTTATTCTCATATGTAGAGCACATAATATATGCTAGATTAATACTTGTCAAGTTGAATTACAGACAAAAATTTCCTAATGCAAATTGGACATGGAATTGCAAAGTTTTTGCACATTTTAGTTTAAAATGACAGTTACATATTGGTCATTATGGTATATGTATATATACATTATGTATGTGTGTGTGTATGTTTGTATATACAACACATGTTTAAAAAGAAGCTATTTGTGATTGCTATTACATTGCATAAATGTGTTTCAAGAGCACTTTAAGCCAAGACAAACTTTCAAAACAGATATTTATTTTCTATAACTACTTAAGAATATTGGTGTCATGTGAACTGAGGCACAAGGGGCCAGATCTCTACCTACCTTCCCTTGTTATCTTGGATAAAAAACCTGCAGCAAATATTTGCATGTATTTCAACTGGGATAAGGCACTGAGAAGAAACACGTTCAGAATCTCCAGGCCTCTTCTCCCAGAGTCTTTAAAATGTAATGGAAAAATTGTTGCTGTATTGCCACAATGTGGTCCTAGCCATATGCATCTGAACTGAGATCTGTGATATGACCATGTGGGATGCAGTGCTTTGGGGAGTAACAATGGAGTCACTCTGCATATCTGGAAAGATTACTTGTATCATGTGAGTATCATTTTAGGGCAATATAATTGATTTTGAGATGATGTTAAACACATGATACAGACATCAAAACTGGAAAAAAAATAAGTAAAAGAATATGTGTTTGTATGATTTAGGCTTTTCTTCCAAGGAAAGCATAATTAAAGAAAGCAAACAAACACAAGAGTGGTCACAGCTGATTTCAGAATTTGTTTCTTTTGATATATATTTTACACATAGTTTGGCAATTTGCTGTATAATACATAATAGAGGGTAGCATTCACCAATAACTTCATTCATGTTCCAAGTGAAAGTATATTTGTTCTGATTTCCAGAAATAAATAGTACAAATAGTTTCAACAGGTTCATTAATTTGGAATGTTGTAAGCTCTGTTTTAAAGTTTGTAATGAGACCTTCAGGGTAACTGAAATAATTTTCCTTTGCATTAGGTAAAGTAGGAATCATACAAATTCACATACTGTTTGAGCTTATGATTTCTGAAAAATTGTATTATTCTAGGCAAAAGATAAACTTGTCAGACTTTTTTAGAGTCTCTGTGAATTTGTTTAAATTAGTGCCCTTATAGAAAGAGTCATGAGAGAGATTTCCCTCAACCACAAGGAGAGCTCTCAAGAGAACCCAGCCATATCCTAATATTGGACATCCACCTCTGGATCTGTAAGAAATAAATTTTTGTGGTTTAAGCCAAAAAAATGCATATGGGATTTTATGATTATAAATACTAAGAGAATGCTGACTCCTGGTATCCAAAACATCAAATGTTTTACTGAAGGTTTCAATTAAAAACATGATTAAAAACATGCCCTTTGAAATTTTTTTTTCCTAGAGATGGAAAGTTGCTTATAATGATTTGTATAACTAAAGTGGAAAATTCCTAAATGTCCACACACACACACACACAGACATACCCATATATATGGGGGGGGGATAAATCTGTGGTATATAATAGTATCGTATGCTCATTTTAAGACTTAGGAAAAGACAAATTCACTTTAGTTTTATGCATAATTTGAATTTACAACCCTAAAAAGAACATTTATTAAATACAGAGTGAGCCCTTTGTGAAAACTGCTTTAGCTTTTCCTGTGCACCATCATTGCTCCAATTAATTAACTGTCTAGGTCAGAATATCAAGGTTGGGCATGTATATTTTCTTGCTCCCTCATCTGGGTATCAGAAGACTTTGTTACCCAGTAAATAATGTTGAACTTCCACTCATTACTGACATGTTTTAATAGTAGATGAAATGTGTTTTTCTTTGTTGTGTGAATAAGTGTATTTTGTGCTCTTCATATTTGCTGGTTTGCACAAGAGATTAAATCGTGATGTGTATGTGTTGTTGCTTGCATTGGTATATAACCCATGTAATTTTAGTGCTTTGACTGGCTTGAAACTTAAATGACTTTATAATAAATGTGGAGAACCTATATCCAGAGTGGTTATTTTGAAGATGGTCGTAAAAGACTTTCAACTTTTGAGCCTGAATGCCCATTTTTACCTGCTATTAGATGAGAAGAGTTTTGACTTGGTTTCCAGTGTTACTGTCTGTTATTCCTTCTCTGTCCACTCCTCTGCAACATCTAAGTTTCTTTCACCTGAGTCTTACCATAGTTTCATAATTTAGATGGGATTGTTTCTAAAATCTGGTGGCCTAGGTATATATAGGTCTAGGATAAGCCTACATAGGTCTAGGATAGCAAGCGACCCCCAAATCTTAGTGATGCAAAACTCAGAAATGTTTGTAGGTTATCTGTGCTTCCTGTCCACTCTAAAGGGGGGTTCCTGTCATTATAATCACTTCAAAGAACTCAAGTGACTGAATATCCACCATGATATGTTGCTGTTTATGCTAGAGGGGAAACAACAGAACACGATGAATCATACACAGTCTGTTAGAGCGTCCACCGGAAAGAAATACACATTTACTCACACGTTTCTGGCCAAAACAAGACTTCAGCTGGGTTGATACACCAGGAGGAAGACTGAAAATAGTTGACAGACAGCAGTAATTATTTAAACATTCAATAAAAAAATGTTTTAGTTCTTGCCTTCCTATGATATTTAAACATGAACCATATTTTTTTAAATTACCTTTTTATTTAGGAACATAATGTAATAAAACATTTAGTGTTCACTCTTTATAAATACTGAGAAGTATGCTGTTGTAATCTATAAAGATAGGGTTGAATATGTGCTACTTACAATGAATAATTTTTTTATTTCAGATACAAAGAATAGTAAGGGAAAAACTCACTTTTTAAAATAATGCAGACAACAAGACAAACACTGCCCAGTTGCAGCTATGTCTGAAATGATTGCTAATAAGTGAGAATGAAGTAAATGTAATTTTGCCTTTTGCACTTTTAATTTCTCTGTGATAGAATATGTTTGTCTTGACATAACTCAGGAGACTGAACTCTGTAAAACTTTCAGAATATTCAAAGTAGTGTAATAGCACTGAAACAAGATCAAAGTACATTTCTCCTTTTTTTTTTTCTCCAAAGGGAAGAATCCCTTCATTTTGAACTCAAACCTAGCAGTACATGAAGTAAATAAGAAACTTGGCTAAAATTAAATCTTAGCAATCTTGAGATGTAAGTTCATATATAACAAATGTTTTGTTCTAAGCTACTTACAGGGATTTATTGCACAAAATTTCTTGCAGAACTATATTTCTGCCCTGAAGAAGTATTAACTGAACATAATAAGATAAAGATGTGATTTGTAATTATGAGAAAGTAATTTGGAAGTCATTATGTTTTTATTAAAAGTCTCAAATTTGCAGGCAGATATCTTCAGTTAACAATCTAGATAGGTTTTAAAATATAATGAAAATTTCGCTTTTGGTTAGTGATCTATTTATAATAGAGCAGAGGCAAAATTCTTGAAATCTAAGGAAATTATATCTTAGATTCGAGGTGTATTTTAAATTTGCACTTTGAAAAACCCTTAGTGTTTCATGTTTAATTTCACTTGAATTATTCTCAGTGTTTGACTTATAAAACCTCAAACTGAAATTCATCCTCTGTTGAAGTGTTAACTTTTCCATTTTAAATAAAGCAGTTCTACACCAGTAGACACTTAACATAATTTAACTTCTTAAAAAGTGAGATTATATTATATGTACTGTTTTTTTTGGCAATGTTTTTGTTTTGATAGTCCATGTACATACAGAAAATTCTTTTTTAATATCTAGATAGTATTATGTAATATGAATGTGCCACAAGTTAAATAATGATTTTTCTTATTGATGGAGACTTGCTTTTATTTCCATTTATTTCTCTTTTACCTAATGCTGTTTCAATGTGTATTTCTTTATATCCTATTATTGTGGTTTGTGAACTTACTGGATTAAGACAGATTCATTTGCATTATGAATACACACTGCTAAAACGGGCAATGTGAATCACCATACTCTTTTTTAAAAAAATGCTTAATTTCTGAGATTACTAGTATGTATTAAGGCAGCCTTTTACATTCACAAATCTAATCAGCAAAAAGAAATAATATTCAAACCATATTTTATGTTACTTTTATTTCCCTTTGCAATAATGAAGTTAAACATATTCTTACATTTGTTAAGTCATTGCTTTTCTATGAATTTCCTGTTCCTGACCTTTGTCCACACTAATCTGTTAATATTTTTCTTATTGATTTGACTCTGTATGTTAAGAATATTAACCCTTTTCACATATGTTACAAATACTTCTCTCCTAGGTTGCTATTTTATTTTTCATTGAGGGTGTCTTTCACCATAATAGACTTAGTGATCTTTTATGGATTATTGATTTATTTCTTATTTGGAAATATTCCCCACCTCAAAGATTATAAACATACTCTCCTTTTTATTTTTTGTCCTTAGATTTTCTAATTTTAATGGAATTTATGTTTTTGTGTCAGGTAAGCTCGAGGTCTAAGCCCCCACCCCACCAGATGTGTAGCCAATAACAGCCTCCCCTGTTTTAGTTATATTCTTGAAGTCTTTTCTGGGGTGGTTTTCCATCAGGTTTTTTGATTGACTTTCATGGCCTCTATTATTAACTTAGATTGGGAAACACTAGTTTAGACCATAAAATAATAAAATAACCCTTGTTTTAGTAATTTTACAATGACACTAAAGACCTATCACAAGTTTTTCTAGTAAAGAAGATAATTTTCTGTAACACTAGTTTCTCTTCTTACCAGATGTCTGTTGTGACCAACAGCATAGAGTCTGTAGATAGTTAAGTGGGTTAGTTAAAAATGTATTAATTTGTTAGTGATGCCATAACTAAGTGCCTCAGACTCTGTGATTTAAAACAATTTTTTTTTTTTTTTTTTTACAATTACAGAGGCTAGAAATCTGGGGCTAGGGGTGATTTCTTCTGAGGCCTGTCTCCTTGTCTTGTAGATGGCCATTTTCTTCTTTGTTTTCATATGCTCTTTCTTCCATGTGTGTCTACGCTTCAATCAGCTCTTGTGAGGTAGCAGTCACATGGGACTAGGGATCATTCTAGTGAACTTATTTAAACCTTACCTACTTCTGTGAAGACTCAGTAAGACAAATTAGTCAGTAGACAAATTCTGAGGAACTGAAGATTTTGACTTTAAGGTATGAATTTTGGAGGGACATAATTTAGTCTGTAACAAGTATAGACAATGATGTCGAGATAAATCTATAACAACTGGCCCACACATCTATCAATCCTATTAACTGAGTTCTCAAACATGAGCATGCATCCCATTCACATGTAGTATTTATTTCATCAAAGTGTTGAGCCTCACTTCAGTGACTGATTCAGTAGGTCTGGGATGTGACTAGAGAATCTTCATTTGCAATAGAGTCCCTAAAGGTCCCAAGCAATGCTAGTCTAAGGAACACACTCTGGGAACCCCAGGTCTAATCAACGAGGCTAACCAGTTACTTGTTATGACATGAAACAAAGAGCCATGAAGCATTTTAATAATTCAAAATAGGACCATTATTTTAGTACTAGACATTTCATTCCTACCCTAATTTTCCCCCCGACTTCAAATAATTTAGATGTGGAAAAATGTATGCAAAGAGGGGTTAGAAGAACATGGGGTGATATGCATGGACAATTAAAACTTATGGAGAAACAAAGTCAACATAAATGAACCAAGATTTAGTTGGTCTCAAATCTCTTACTAGTTTCAAAAGGATATTTCTCAAAATGTATTCAAGCAAAATCACCATACCAATCTCTGGGAATATTACTTACATTTTGTCACTCTAACCAAAGCTTTTCTTTTTTTTTTTTTCAAGAAAGAATTGTAGGCCTATTTGGATCAATTTTACATTTTTCTCCCTACAATTCCAATGGTAATAATTTTCTTTGATCCTGCTATTTTCCTCTCTTGTCTGATTCCAGTTGGTGTTACAGTAATTTCCTACTCTAGTAAAATGAATCTTTATTCAGTCTGGCTTCTCAGAGGGGTACTGGGTATTTCTTTTCCCAATAAAATACAATGTTCATTCTTCTCTTCTGGGACAAGTAAATTATTTTAATGGGTTTTAGTAGAAATAATTAAAATGACAGTTGAAAATAAATGGACCAAAATAAAATTAAAATACTTGGACACAAAATCCTATTCTAAAGGCACTAAAAATCAAGGTCTTTTATACAAGTCCAAATGAATGGTATTTATAAAGTAAGATAAAAGAAAAGAAAGTTAAAAGAAAAAAAGAAAGAGAATAAAAGCTATAGAAACTCAAGTCCAAGTTGTGCTTTTGCAAGGCACAGTCCCACCAGGAATGTTTCTGTCTTCTGGAGAATATGTCATTGGTCACCATGAGTCTGACACAGGATACCAAATGCAAACACAGATAAAATGTTCTATGTAGTCATTTCTTCAAATGTATTTTTCTGAAATCTCAGCATCAATATACTCATTTGTAAAACTTGAACTATTAGAAGAGTTGAAACTATCAAACAGTTTTCTAAAAATTGAGACATTCGTCACCACTTTGAGTTTGATTTTATAAATTAGTGATTTTCTCACAGATATTCAGAATAGTGTGCAAAATAGAAAGCTCAAAATTATCCAGAGAATTATAGAAACTAAAGTTAGAAGTAATTTTTATCTATTTGCTTTCTTAATTTAGTTTAGGTAGATATTAAAATTGTCCTTTAGTAATGTTTTTGGTGAAGACTTATGAAATAATTACATTTCTCTTGATGTAGAATTCTCCAGAAGATCTAGCTATGGATTCTGAATCTTTCTGACTCGTGGCATACATCTCCCATCTCTTATTAATCCACTAATTAGAAACATAATGATAAGGAAAGGTTTTCCAAGAAGATCCCTTTTTACCAGAGTCCTGAGACAAGAATTTGTGTGGTGGCTGTACTCTTGTGCAATAATATATAGTCCAACTGTAGAATCAAATGGCTTTGGTCCCCGTGTCTTCTGAACTGCTGCCAGC